ACCGCCTCGGGGATGCAGCAATTCGTGAGAAACGCGGGTTGAGAGAAGGCGATCGATAAAAAAGTGAGAAGTGGAGCTTTCGTTAATACGGAGTGCAGGATTCTCTGTGGACGAGACTCTAATTACATCCGGCGAATGCGGAAGAAATGAGACTGAGGTGCATGTGTATGTATAGATTAAGTACGACAAAGTTACGAAGATACAATTCTGAACCCATGGTTATATTATTTCGCGATGATATATCTGTCACCGCTTTGCCTTTGTTTATTGATGCATATGCAATTGATGCATTGTAACCAGTTTTGAGCGAAAGAGATTCCTGCTATTGATTTCGTGTATTCTTGGCACTTTACGTAGCGTTGCCTACACAATTTCCATTGTAGGTACATATATAAATAGATCTTTCTCCCTATTCACGATAATGAAATGCAATCGAAATATCGAGAAACTTAACAATTTAAATTCCGTTTGACGAATAGACATTCCATTTCAGAGGATCAAAGAGTTAAAGTAAAACACGTTCTTCATTCGCGATATCGCTTTAAAGTCAAAGCGAGAGGGGGAATAGGCGTAAGATTTTAGCGGCAGCAGCGTTAAGCTAAGCCGTAATCGTCTTATTTCCGTGTTAAATCTCTTCATCTCTTATCCTTGTGCTTCGGGAGTGGAAGGTGCCACGAATACCAAGCGGATGATATGACTGGCACCATTGTTCTCAGCTTATACCCTCTGCTACACGGTTATAAGCCGCCGCCCAGGCAGGCGGCGAGAAACATGCGAATTAAAAGCCGGTTTCCTCAAGATGAGCCGCCGTGTTATGAGATGAGCTTTGACCAACCAGATAGGATACCAGGATAATATTACCGCCATACTAGACGCCGTGATTTCCTACTAACGTCGGTTAACGTCAATCGTGGTTTAATTTGTTATTTGCCTCTTTCCGCGAGACCGGCGAGACGAGAACTTATAAATAAGAAATAATTGCATTTAAATTTTAATTAACTTATGTACATTCAATATTTGTGGAAATGGCTCATAATAATTTTATTTTTCGCGTTATCTAAATGCCAAGAGAATTTGACGGACAATCGACCAACTTCGTTCGCTCAGTTTCACAGACGCGCAAATGCATGTATCTATTTTTCCTGATTGAATCAAGATCTGCTTCCGTACAACAGTGTTGCCTTACAGTAGATCTGATCCGCTCTTGATTTTGAACGACGAAGGTACAATATCAAGTGACAAGTACGCGCTATAAACTAGAGTTTCGCATGAAACTGATGAAACAGTGGATCATGTTGCACGATTATAACATCTTGGTATTTGTACTGGTACAATTAGGAACGTTGAAAAGTGAAAGAAATACAGCATAATGTATTAAATAATATGTAACAAAACTACAACATACACTCTGTAAAGTTTTTTAAGTGTAATAATTATATAATGTAATATTAAATTAATGTTATATTTTATATTATATTAGTTTCTGTGAACATTTTAATATAACGGAACAAGATTATTATTAATGAGATTTATTTTGAGAATTAATAGTGTTGTTTTTTATGAGCTCTAAAAAACAAAAAGTTTTCATAAATATCCCATTATGCATTTCTATAGAAACTTACAGAAATATCAGTATAGTCTTTATTTTATTTTAGCTTTATTATATTCAAAGGTTAACTCGAAGAAAGTATTGTAATCTCCGTATAATGCACGCGTAAAGGAAAGATTAATTTCATAAATGACATAGTTTCTTAATATA